TATATATATATACTTTCTTAAAAGTACTAATGTAAACTACTGTTTTGTTTTTGGAAAACTTAATAGGTTTAAACTTATAAGGTATACAGATGATAGGTTTATTAATTACTGTTGAATTAGAGTTACAATATCAATAATAAAACGGAATTTACAGAAACATTTAAATTATCTGTGCATATGTTCAAATGAGTTAAATTTAATTTTATGTTTTCCCTGCATTTCTATGTATGATGTAATTCAATCAATCGTTGGGTCAGATTATAATTTTTTTTTTTTCAAAAGTTTGATCTTAAAATAACAATATATTGTCAAGTAATTTTAGAATGTGAATGTAATATAATTTTAAAAAGTAGCACTGATATATTCCTTATTTTCTCATTAGTTTCATGACTTCCTTTAGTGAAGAATACTGCTGCTAAAATGAATCAGTTAAGAAATCGCATATTTAAGATAGGTGGGATTTTTTCATCAGCTAGTTTATCCGCTAAATTTTGCCATGCACAAGTAAGTTTTTATTTTATTTGTAAGCGTTGAATATCAAAAAAGTTTTAATTATTGACTCTTTGTAAGATCAGCATTTAAATACAATTATATTTATGGCATTTGATTTGTGTATAGAGTTTTTTTTAATATTATTTACTCATAAGTGTTATTGGTAATGTTTTATTTTTCTTTTCAGAGTGACACAAAGACGGTGTATGATTTTGAAGTCCGTGACATCAACGGAGAGTTGGTGTCTATGGAAAAGTACAGGTAGATGACTTGAAATTCACTTAATTTAAGTTATTTATTACTATTTATTACTAGTATAACATTAATATTATTAATTATTTAAATTATTTTTATTCTGGCTTAGACGTGAAATTTTATATGTCCATAATTATCGATATATTTATGTGGTGATTAGTGACCGTTAATCGATTTCTAAATAGATATATTTATGTTTTTCATTTTAATACCACGGAATGGAAGCTGTACTACCAAGGCGGTCTCAAATGATACTACTCATTAATGATTATTATTTGTTTAAAAATCTTTGTATTATATTTTTAAAAAACTAACATTTGATTTCATTAGGGGCCATGTCTTGCTAGTTGTGAATGTTGCTTCCTTGTGTGGTTTGACAGCTACTAATTACAAAGAGCTAGTCGAACTGGATGACAATTACAGAGATAAGGGTTTAAAAATCCTCGCATTCCCCTGCAATCAATTTTCCAAACAAGTTAGTCCTTTATTCCAATTTAATAAATGCCTATGTATATATGTGTATTATTTCTTTTAATTCATAGGAGCCTGGATCATCGGAGGAGATCATGTGCTTCGCGAAATCAAAGAATGCTACCTTTGATTTCTTTGAAAAAATTGATGTCAACGGAAAGAATGCATCGCCACTGTGGGAATACTTAAAATCGAAGGAAGGAGGGTTTATTACAAAGTAAGTAAATAGATTTGTTTGATTTATTTAACATAAATAAAAATGTGTAACCTTATCGCTAAGTGATAAGAGAAAATTCAGCGTACATGCTTAACTACTTTTTGTGTATGGAAAAGATAAGTTGAAAAATACGATAAACTGCAGTTGTGCTATGTACACTTTGTCAATAAACTTCTTAAAAATGGCACAAGTTACCAAAACATTAAAGTTTTTTTTCCATTTAAATTATACCTTCAAAACAGCCTGAAAAAATAGATTAATAAAATTTATTTTTGTATTAAAATATAATTGCTCCATAGTCAATTTAATCTTTTTTTAAATTAAAATAATCCAAACTAACTGTTTGTATGCTTTATTTTTAAGCTCGATAAAATGGAACTTTACAAAGTTTATTGTTAACCACAAAGGAATTCCTGTGGAAAGGCATGGGCCCACAACCGCACCTTCAGTTAGTATTAGTTTGATTTTAATTAATTGACTAAATTATTTATTTAATGTCATATTTTTTTTTTAGAAACTGAAGTCGTCCATTGAAAAATATCTACATGAAAAGGAAGCGGCTGGAGAGTAGCGTAAAAAGTAATTAAAGTAGAGATTTTAGTATTCACTATACCCCTTTTAAAATATCAAAATGTGATAGTGAATATTCCAGTAGTTTTGCTTTAGTAAGCATTTAAATAAATTTCAACTTTTCTAAGACTTATAAAAATTGTAAACTTTAAAAAAATATTGTATATTTATTAGTATTTAAATATCGATTATTAAAGGCCAACTTTTTTCTGATATTCAAGCAAGACAAATTTGTTTTGTTGTGTTTAAATTCATTGCATTTCTTACAATAATATTTAAATTTTAAAGCAAGGCTAAGTAACAAGTTAAAAAATAAACACCTAAAAATCAACATTAACAATCTTACTGAACAAGTACAATGTCATGCATATAGACTGAGTTTAAAATGGAAGCAGCCAGCATTGGATGCTAATTTTTGGATTCTTTCAGAAATAACAAAAAATCTCTTCTTTTTTATGTGGACTACATACATTTATGACTCCATGGACATAACTGGTTTTGATTATTTACTTCTTTTTTGTTTTTGCTCTTTCTTCAAGTTGTTGTGTTCTCTGCTGGTTTCTCCCTGTGTGTAAAATATTTTGAATTCTTGTACTATTTCATTTAATTATTTGGAGAAATAGCTGTCTGTTATAGACTGAGCTTAAAATGAAAACAGCCAGCGTTGGATGCCAGTTTTTGGATCCTTCAGAAATAACACAAAATCTCTTCTTTTGTTTGTGTGTGTGTGTGTGTGTGTTGACTGCATATATTTATAATGGTCATGACAGGTTTTGTTTATGTATTAAGCTAAAATTGCTTTCCAGTTATTGTCTCAGTTCTTCATAAATCAAGTTGTTGCGTGCTTTGTCGGTTTTATCTAGTGTTAAAAAATAGTTTGCATTACTACTATTTCATTGAATTTTTCTGATAAAAAGCTTTCTTCAGCATATATGTAATGACTCCAAAAATATAAGAATTGTCTTTTATTATTATTTCAAATAAACTGTTAAAATATATAGATTTTCTTCTTTTGTGAATAATATTCCTTCAAAGCCCTATATTGCTTTTTTCCTCATGTACATGATTCATGCAAGCATTTAGAATGAATTTTCTTTACTTGTTTTTTCCTTTATTTTTTTTTTAGTAGGTCGTAGGTAGCATGATTAACTTCAACATCTACTGCTTTAAAAAAAAAAAAGTGGAAGTTCATAGAGCATTTTGCTACTGCACTTTTGATCTGATAAACATATGTGAGAACATTTAAGTCTTGTCCATCTGTATTAAATAGCCTGAAACAGTTAGATTTTCAAATAATCTGCCAACAGGAAGCATTTTGTTTGAATGCATCTAAATTCTAAACCACTTTGGTGAAGGTTATTACACAAAATAACAAAGGAAATTTTTTTAAATAGGTGGTGTGATTAAATGTATTTACAAGTAAATTAAACGGTCTTGGGTAGCCACTCTTCTGAAAATATACAAATATAAACATGGATATCTTTTTGGGCTGGGTACACAAATGTCTTTTGTATGACCACATCAAGTGTGTAATATTAATTAATTTAAAATATATACCAAACAAAAATATAATGGCATGGATAAAAACCGTGTCCCGGAGACCCACAAGTGTGGAATAGATTGGGGTAGGATAGGTTAAATAGGGTTATGGTTAGTATTAGGATTAGGTTAGGTAGGGTTATAGTTAGAATTAAGGTTAGGTTAGGTAGAGTTATGATTAGAATTAGGGTTAAATTAGATAGGGTTATGGCTAGAATTAGGGTTAGGTAGGGCTAGAATTAGGGTTAGGTTAGGTTAGGTAGGGCTATCATTGTAGTTAAGGGTATTTTTATTTTATTTTACAGCTCAATATACCTGCACCATCTATTTTAATACTTTTTCCTCTATTATGAAGCTTTATGTCTTCTACTTTTTTTGCTATTGTATTTGTATAGTTGATCTATTGATGTTAAAATACCTTTTGGTTGGATATTTATGACCGTTTTTTTTTTTTTTTTTTTTTTTTTTTATTACTTTGTCACAGGTTTAAGAAGAAAACTAGGTCCTGCATGAATGCTGCACAAAGAGAAAAAATAACGGCACTTCAGCTCATCTATAACAAACATTCCTTTTCAGCACAGTTTATAATTGCTTAAGAAACAAAAAACCTATGAATGTTTTGTAATTTCTGTAGGGTTAAAAAGAATTATCTGATTTGTAGCCAAATATATTTTAGTTCTAAATTATTAAACTAAAGCACTCTTATTGGAAAAAAAATTCAGTAACACCAATTGTTGTCTCTCATTTATTCAATTAATTTATTCAAATTGAGTTCATTCACCCTAATGAAAATAGAAACATGGTATAACCATTGGTAATGGTGGGGTAGTTTTATTCACCAGAGTTATCCATGTAGTGTTAGTGTGTAATTAAACCTAGAAGAGGAAAAACTAAATATTGGGGTACAAAACTACCCCGTGTGACTTGTCATGTAAATTTTTATGACTATTTTAATATTTTTTCCATCAATAATGCATATTTCTGCCTTAAACTTTTCTCTAGTGCTTGTAAATTATGTGTCTCACCTAATTTACTTAACAAGATTATTTTCTAACCCAGGAGAAGTTTAGTGGCATCAACAAATACTCTTCAACCTATTGGATTCGTCAGTTATTTTTGATAAGAATTTGAAAACTTGGTCGAAAAATCTTAACTAATTGTTTAGTTCTGGCAGTACAGGAATGCGCTAGGGTAACACAATTGGTTTTTGGTGTTACTTGAATTTACCATGCAATAAGTTTTATATATAAAACAAAACAGAAAAGCAGTTAAAATATTACAAATTTTTAACTTCAAAGCCACGATTCCTAGAAAAGAACAGTTAAAAGTCACTATCTACTAGCAAAAATCAAAGAATGTGACATAGTGTGCAATATGCTCGGCAAAGTAGTTTCATCATTATCCTCCAAGAATTACAATCAGCACATCTACAAATTATAACATTTATCAGCGAATTGAAAACAAATAAATTGTGCTTATAGAAAAGACAACAATTTGTTTAGTCCTTTTAGTGTTCTAATAATAATTTTATTATTCAGTTAATTCAGTCTATGTTCTCAAACACAGTTTAAGGCTTAAATAAAGTAAGTCTATTTTATTAGTTTTTATAAAACATTAACATCAAACTGTGGTTTTGTAAAGAGGAACAGGGTGAAAACTTGTGAAAAATTTAATGCCATTTAATCAAGCAGAGCAATAATAAACGTGATAAAAATATCAAATTATTCGTATATTATTTTGGATCAGTCTTTCAAAAAATTAGATATTAAATAATCCATTTATGTTTAACAATTATAATTGACCTAACATAATTATTTCAATTAATTATAATTTTTATTTAATGTCTTGGTTGAGAAGAAAAAGTATAATTAATTCAAATATCAAATAATATTTTTTTTTAATTAAAAAAATCACTAGTAATCAATGGTATCAATGTATAATGCATGCATGCACATACATAATTGTCCATAAAATAAAACTCACTTTTATTAGAAAGGACGTAATACACTGAGAGGCAAAAAAGTGGCCACCCTTAATATTTTTAATTAGCTCTTAGACAATCCTTCAATGATTATCTTACTACAATATTTGGCCTTTTTTAAAGGATTGGAGGTAAATAAAATCTCCCACGTGTGTTCACAATTGGATTTTGTAGATAAATATTTGAATAATCAATGTCTTCTTTGTTGGATTTTCTATTAAGCTTCTTTCTAATATTCCGGTGATGATTTTTTTTTTAAGTTGTACCATTTTTAAGTTTCTTTAAAAATGTCCAGTAAACAACAAAGTAACAACAGGGTGGGCAACATTTTTTTTTTTTTGCCTCTCAGTGTAGTTTCTACTATTACAAAGGAGGAAAAGATTAAGCGGGTCCATTTAATAATTAAATACATATAAATTCACTAGTTTATATATCATGGTTGGTGTTTTTGTATTATTTAATTTAAATAATGCAAAAATTCATTAGAGAGCGTTTGTTTCATAACAAAAAATAACCTAGTCAAAGTATCAAACCAAATGTATAATACTCATTTCAATTGCAGGCATGTCTTAGCATTAATAAATAACAAAAGATTTTGAACAGTGCAGCTAATCACAATTTGTTAACAAGTTGCTTCAGGTACTCTTCTATCACTGTCCTTGCTGAAACAAATAAATTGAATGAATACTAATTCTACTTTATATACTAATAAATATATTAATAAAAACCTAGCTGTCTATGCCAAACTAAACTAAACAACTAAACACACACACACACACACACACACACACACACACACAGAGAGAGACTTGGAATAACAAGGTAAGGAAGATTTTAATTAAACAATTAAACATTTTTTGATACTAGATTGAAAAATATTATTATAAATGTCCAAGCGTTCCAATGAGTACTAAAGAACCCCTAAAATATTACTTTCCTTATCATATGTAAAAAGTTAAACCAACTTATATACAATAATCTGGAAATATATTTTAAAAAATTTAGAACCTGAAAAAATATTCCTTATTGGAAAACAATTGAATATTCAGCAACCCAGCATTATAAGTATAACTAAGTACAGTAAGTCAGATCGATTGCAACTCATTTTTTCTTATTTTAGTTCTCTAATTATTAAATCTCAAATTGTCAACTCCCTTGTTACGTCGTGGAGAAAAAAAATTTGGAAGTACAAAGTCAAAATTGCGTTTGGTACCTATTCTTGGGTATTGTAAATACTGAAATACATAATATTCAATCCAGCAACATAAGCAAAGTAGGTTTAAGATTTTTTTTTTTTTTTTAGCAAAAACCAGGTGAAATTTATTTTCAGCACCCTGAAAACCCTGAATACAAATTTTGAACATCAAAAAATAAATGTTTGCATACATTTTTTGTTTAGATCTGCAATTTTTTGTTTAAAAATCACAAAAGTTGTAACTTCAAAACGACTCCACTGATCTTCTAGAAACTTAACAGGGGTTTAGAACCCTATAAACTATACCTAATGATTGAAATTAGGCTTCCTCAAAATTACCTAAATTAGCACTATAGAAAAAAATAAAACGTCTAGTTTTTGTTGATTTCACCCTTATTTTTCTCACTTATAATGATGTAAAACCTAAACATTGTTGACACTGCCTAAAAGTACAAACATTCAGCTTTCCAACAGTTGTAATAATATTGAATGTTGATAAAATCCAGCGGAGTTATAAATTTTATAAGTGGAACAACAGGACATCAGAGAAAAATTGCCCCAGCCAAAGTATATGTATATTTTTTGTTTATGATGACAAAATCCTGCATACTATTTTCTTATTCTAGGTATTAAAAAAAAATTGACTGATTTGTAATAAACTTGTAATACATGCACAAAAAGGGAGAAATCTACATTTTGACAAAAAATTCTCAGATCTTAGGGCCCATTGGCAAGAACGCTCAGACATGCGTCTAGTATTTGTTGACTGACTAGCATAAAAAAATATCAGTGATCCCCTTGTAAGTAGAAAAAATATAAATTGTAAAATTGTCTGTTTGCCAAGGCTACACTTAAAACTAGACTGTATTGCAACACTAAAAAAATAAAATCATTAGTACTGCTGTAATAACTTTTTTTTGTTTGTTAATGAATTATACTGTTATTTTAGATTAAGTAATTACAAGTTCATATTACCTTGGATACAGTTTTGTTCCACGGCCAAATTGTAAGCTTTGACTTGGAAATTATTTGGTTCCCATAAATCACAGCCATTTTCTATCAGTTCATTTACAGCATGTGCGTGATCTCCGAAAACTGCATACAGTAAGGGTGAATTTCCATCCTACAAAACTCATAACCATAAAAAAAAAATTCTTAATATATTGGGGCCACAAGTAAGTTTTGAAGGATTTTTTTTTTTTAAATTGGGGCTTATTGTGCAAAAATGGTAACAATTTAATTACTCAGTGTTTTCCATCACTAGCCTCTATTTTTCCTATCTTTACGGCGGCTTATGAAATCCACATTACAAGAATTGCATTCCTACTAAGAAAGGAAGTACTGCTCAGATAGGCCATTAAACATGTAGTATTACAAGTAGTATTTGGAAGGAGCAATGTGCAGAGAGAGAATACAGCAGGTGGGGCAGGATATCCCATTTGAGTATTTCCAAGTAGTTTTTGAATGGCAACATAAGGTCGAGAATTATGTAAAATCACTTTCTCATGCCTCTGCTCACAATATGGCCATTTCTCCTTCAAAGCTCAACTTAAGTGCATCACTTGTAGTCGGGAGCTTGTGATAGTTTCATTTGGTTTTAGCAGCTCATAATACACCTAGCTGTTCCCACCAAATACAGTGCTTATTCATGAATATGTTTCAACGTTGATGTTGATGCCGGACTTAACCCACAATTTAATATGCTTTGGATTGTCGTAATGAATCCACTTTTCATCACCCGATACGATTCGATGAAAAAAAACCTTCCATTTTTTCCTTTGGAGCAGCAGTTCACAAGTGAAAAATCTCTTCCATTTCTCCTGGCTTTAATTCCTATGGCACCCAATTCCCTTGTTTTTGGACCATTCCCACAGCTTTGAGGTACAATGAAATTGCTTGTTCAGTCACTCCAAAAGATTCTGCAAGTTTTTCTTGTGTTTGACAGAAGTCTTCATTAAATTCTGCACCTTCTGTGGCCTAGCTTCATTCCTTATCCTTGTCAAAATCACCACTTTTGAACTGTCCACACCGGTAGACACAACCTGAAATTGATAAAGCATTGTCCCTCCCCCAAGAAGCCTCACAGAAATCGATGCCCTTCAGTTGCTTTTATCTTCAAATGGAAGCAGAAAAGTAAAGCTTCCCGCAAATTGAGTTTCATTGGCACAAAAATTGATATATTTGGAGCTCACAAAAACTCTGTTGTTTTCACTTTAACGAAATGAAGCGTACTGAAAACTAAAGCCTAGCAACGCTTTAACCTGAAAGTGGTTAGGTTATGGTCCAATGTGATTTAATACTGGTAACGGCCTCTCTTTTAAATCCTTTAAAACTCACTTGTACCCCCTTCTTATTTAACATAGTTTTTAACAAATGAATTACTTCATCTTCAGCATTGACGTCTGCTCCGTTTGAAATCAGAACTCGAATAATATCGTGATGACCTCCAGCAGCAGCGAGATGTAAAGCAGTTTCTAAATGATTCCCCTGAATATGAATATCAGCCTTTTCTTTGATTAAAAGCACAACAGAAGCCGTTTGGCCGTAGGCAGAACTCCACATCAATGCGGTTAATCCATTTTTATCAACTTGATCTACATTCACTGCTGAAAAACAAATAATTAAAATAAAAAATGAAAACAATAATGTTGGAATTGAAATTGTACCTTATGGACAATTTTAGACAAGTCATGACCTAGTAACTGATAAATTAATAACTGGGGGGTCTGACTTGGCCTGTCCATGAATAAATGGGGGGGTCCATAAATGAATTGCTTTACATTTCATTTATTATATAACTATCTTAAATAATTTTTCTATGGAATAGTTTATTTTAAACTATTGGTAAGGGGATGACACGGTGCTCATTACTGTAAGGTAAAGGTCCCGGGTTCAAATCCCGCGTCCTGCATTTGAACCAGATATCTTACATTTTTTTTTTTTTTTCAAAAACAGGCACCCCTAGATGGTTCATATAACCTCGTAGTTGAAATACCCTCATAAAACAATAATAAAATTTAAAAAAAATTAAAACAACTATAGGTACTTTTATAGTTGTATTGATCGCAACATACTTATTTTAATGTAAACCAAATTAAACAAGATCAGAAAGCCATGAGTTTTAATAAAACTTGTGTAAAATTGATGACTTGAAAGAAAATTCACCTGGAGATTTTTTTCACAAATTGTTTCACAGCATCCAAATGTCAAAAAGGAAATGCTCCATTATTAACAGGCAGGTCTTGCAGCTGCAGTCCCATGCAAGAGGGTATGGGAGAACAGAGGATACCCTGAGCATGTTTAGCTCTGGAGTTCTGGGAGATGTAGACTTTTCCATAATTATGTCGATGTGTATAGTTTTTATTTGTATATCCAACCTTCATAAATGTTTTAATTAATTAATTGTAGTTTTTATATGGAAGGTAAGCCTTGCTTGTCTCCCCGGATAGTCCGTTATGACTAGGTCTGTAGCTCTCTGGCCACCATTTCCTTCTGAGAGTGTTCTTTGGTTAAATGGGCAGTATCTAGCCAATAAAGTAAAAAAAAAAACCTAATTTCTTTTCGTAAACGTTTTTTAAATCTTTGCATTCTTTTGAAAAACATGGGGATCTAGAAGTATTTTAAGTATGTCGGGTTCAAATGTAGGGTTGCTGGATTCAAACCCAGGACCTTGCAGTGATGAGCATCGTGTCACCGTCAAAACAATTGCGGCCACCAATGTCCTTCTCATCTACTTATCACTGTTAAAATATATTTTTTCAGACATGTTTAAATAGTCCAAAAACTCATGGACTATATTATGAACTACGGACAGAAATTTTATAAATCAGTTATTATTACCATTTTTTATATCTTGTAGAGTAATATTTCCACAGCCTGCTTTTTCAAACCATGAAACGCCATTGGCATTTGTTTCCGTAGGTTCAGCTCGAATATTTCCTCTTTGTAAATTGGTAAGAACAGTCGTGGGCTGATTTACATTAAAAAAAAAAAAATTAATGTTGCCTGTGTCTGATTTTATGCTTTTTAACTTTTATTACTTTGTATGGGAGAAAAGCACTTCTACGTGGCCCATCTTCCCACAAGGACGAAGAAGGCCATGTGATTCCATTGAACGATTTCGCAGAGGTAAAAGAACTAAACGATGAAAGACACGGTTGGATGGCCAAAGGTCGGAGCTCTTCATTCGACAGAGTGGATTCTGATCCTAGCCGATTCGCATCGGCAGTCGACTCCATTTCCATTCCACTGTTGGAGTGGGTCGAAACAGATTCCATTCCGCTCGTTAAAGGGGAATAGTCCGTGTCGGCATCATTACGATCAGCCTGATCATTTTGTATAACGGCCAATGGCGATGACTCCAAGTCAACAGGAGTATCACCACATGACATCACGTTATTTTCCTTTTCTTGAGAATCTGAGGTAGGGGTTGTCTGTGTCTGTTTACTTTGGTAATCCATTAGTCTAAAAAGTCACAAAAGTTTTACACTCATTAATCACTCTCTCGAGTAAACCAGCATAAGCATAGAGTACGTACCAATTCTTAAATTCAATTCAAATAATTAAATCACAATTTCATATCACTTAATATTTTTAAATAGGTTTGTGCAGCTACCTCGTGATCGCCGCATTTTAATTTTGCCCATTTCTCGTCCTAAGACATAAGGACTCGCATATTTGAGACGACACATAAAGATATTGATTTATGTCAATTCTTTAAACATTAAAGTGAAACTTAAATAAAGGCGACATGAAGTTAATGCCTAGTTAATGCAATGATAACATTTTCAGCAGGGTAGGTTGTAGTATGAGAGCGTCAGATAGTAAGAAAACTGGTGAGTTCAGCAGTACCAAAGATGCTTGGTGTCTGTATGCGAATCGGTAAACATGGTGAACCGGCATTGGATCCGGCTTCAACAAACAAGCGAGTGGTGACGGACCCAATGCCGGTTCGGCGTGAGTACCAAAGAAATCAGTGTACTTCGGTCCGACTTGAAATATACAGATAATAATTATTTATGAATATAACTTATTTAAAATGTTACATATATCGATCACATTTTTACTCACTATTAATCTGGATCTTGATATGATATGGATGAAAAAAAACAAATTCAAATGTTATCTGCCTGGCTTTCAACCTATTTTAAGGTCATCATTAGGGCAAAACAATCTTAATGATGTTTGTAAATTGACGTAATTAATTTTTAATAGGTGGTTTCATAGTGTTACTGTCCTTGGCAATATAAGGACTGAGTTGATCTTCATAGAAATTTGAAAACATCTATTAAAAATGTTATTGTGCCGATTTGTAGACATATTTAATATTGTTTTGTCCTGATGATCACCTTAAAATAGGTCGAAAGCTTGGCAGTAACAAATGAATTTTTTTTCCACCCAGACCTTATCGAGATCCAGATATTTTATGAGAAAACCCCTAATCCTACTTAACCTAACTTACTGTACTTAACATTAATTATAACCTCTAATCCTACTTAATCTAAACTGTCCAATCTCAACCCATGACTGTTCTAACCAATCTACAAAAAAGAAATATTTGAGCTGAACCTAATATTGCCTAACTGAAATACTACTCTAAAGGATATAAAAGAATGGTAATAATAAGGGGCCAAGTAGAAGTGCATTTCTCCCTTACGAAGTATTAAAAGTTATAAAGCATAAAATCAGACACAGGCAACATTAATTTTTTTTAGATGTAAATCTCAGCCAGTGTTGGGCAAAAATTAGTCATGTCTAATGATTAATGATTGATCACTCAGACCGTTAATCTTGATTGGTAGTAAATGACTAATTTAGTCATTAGTCACCATATGTGATTGATGGCTAAATTAGTCATGACTAGTAATTAAATGCGAGGCATGACTAATTTAATCACAATATAGTTAGTCATGACTAAATTTCGACAAATCATGTTCAAATGGGTGCTCAAAAAATGAAAAAAATTTCTAACAGAAATTTATTTCATCAAAACAAAAATCCTTCAACACCTTATTTAACAAAAATCAATCATCCAATTATAAGTAAAACTATGTCGTTATGAAAAGCCAAAAAAATAATGATAATAATAATAATAATAATAAAATAAAAAATCATAGTACAAGCTACGCTTTGAAAAGTAAATATGTTTACATAACCGATCAATGGAAAAAATATTTATTTGAATTAAAATTTATTCCACTTGAAAGTAGAGATTTCTACATTATGTGGAAAATACACCATCAATCGGTCTTGATTATAATAAAATAGACATGTAGAATAATTATGTAACTTTGGTTTTCATTTATGATAACAATTTTTGAAGGTTGGCCTTGAGCACGACTCTCATCTCAAAATTTTTATCCGGAGTCTGCTGGATTTTGGTAAGTTGGTCATTGTAGCCAGAGTTGGGCAAAATCGAACTAATTCAATCATGATTAAGAATTTTGATTGAAGTTTAATCATGATTGAATTAGTCATAAGTAAATTAATCATTGTATGATTTAGTCATACATCATGATTGAATTAATCATGACTAAATCGTATAATGATTAATTTACTCATGACTAATTCAATCATGATTAAACTTCAATCAAAATTCTTAATCATGATGAATTAGTTATATTTTGTCCAACTCTGATCTCAGTCCACGACTGTTCTTACCAATCAACAAAGAGGAAATATTCGAGCTGAACCTATGGAAACAAATGGCAATGGTGTGTCATGGTTTGAAAAAGCAGGCTGTGGAAATATTACTCTACAGGATATAAAAAATGGTATTATTTGTTAAAAACAGAAAATATTGAATATGGTGGTTACAAAAAAATTATGCAATGGGGAATAAAGTGATTGATAACAAAACAATATCTCATTTTGATGCATGCACTTGTTCTACTGCTGAACAATTACTTTGCAAGTTACTTTTACTATATTTACATATTTCTCACCAAGTATTGCAGAATTAAGTTGAGCCCATACAGTTTCTCTTTGTCTGGGATGTAATTGCTAGTGTACAGGTTTACTCCAAATATAGGATCAAAGGTATAAGATGTAGAGTTATATGGAGTTAGGGTAAGAGCTGGGTTAAATATGGCTATAGTGCTGGGTTAGAGTAAATATCAATGATTCATTATTTTTCCATGAATTTGGGAAAATTTACACTTTGCTGCACTCTTGGTATTTTCTTTGGAAAATTATATTGCAAAATTTCCACTTGTCAGCAATGTAATTGGACACAAATCACTTCTTTTTGGCAAAAATTCTGATAACAAGTAAACAGTAAAATCATTGTGGAAGAATAGAAGAACAACAAATTTTGTTATAAAAATACCATTCAATATAACTTCCTTCAACTGTAAGGATTAGGTTGGTTAAGAATGAGGGTTAGGGCTTAGTTAGGTTAGGCTAGGTAGGGTTATAGGGTTAGAGATGGTTTAGGTAGGTGAAGGTTAGCGACAGGTGAGGTTATATATATCAATAATTCAATGTTTTTCTGCAAAGTAGAGAAAATATGCAAGTGTAAAGCCCCAGTTTTTATTACTGCTGTTAAAAACATAGAAAATGTTGAAAATGTAGGTTACAAAAATTAATGCAGTTAATGAAGTGTTTGATAATAAAACAATTATTTTGATATATGCACTTGACGAACAGCTGAACCATCACAAGCAAGTTAGTTTAACTATATTTAAAATAATGTTGAATATGGCAGTTACAAAAAATGAATGCAGTTGGGAATAAAGTATTTGATAATATAACACTTATTTCGATACATGCATTGTATTGTTGCTCCATTACTTTGCAAGCTATATTTTACAATACTAGAAGTGTCAACCACTTATTCACTCATCAAGGATCCTGCCAAGGACTGTCACATTGCCAATGTTAGGACTGAGTCAGTTTTCAAGAAAATTTGAGATCGCCTTTAATTAAAAAAACTTAATATGTCAATCCATAGACATATTTAAGATTGTTTTGTCCTGATGATATCTTTAAAATAGCTCAAAAGCTTGGCAGTAGCAACTAAATTTGCTTTTTTCTTCAAGATGATACCTTGATCCACAGTGTTTGTGGAAGTTAGATTTACTTTGTTTAATTGTTTATTTTTCACCGAGCATTGCAGAATTAAGTTGTGCGCATACAGATTCTCCTTCTCTGTGATGTATTTGTCAACCTTCAGGACTACTCCAAGGATAAGAGTATACTAATAAAATAATTGAATCCTACAAAGAATAGATACATGAAAATAATTGTTTGCTGAATTTTATTTTGAAATATGAACTCTTAATAGCCACTATATATTTATTCTCATTTTGAACTGCTCAAAATCACCTGAAACATGATGTTGATGATGAGGATACTAGGAAGCAGGGTTTGTGCTCCCCAGGCACTGCAGCCTTCTGGCTTCCTAGTTCTTCTAGAAGTATTAGGTCATTGACTGTTGCTGCTACAATTGATTCCATAGTTTTTTCTGTATGCTAGGTTATGTCTCCATTGAGCCATTGCTTCACATTCGAAGATGATATGGGCAAATTTTTTTCCTTCTCATTACATAATCAGCAAAAAGATTATCATTATATATGCCTATGTTATGTAGATGTTTTCAAATGCCAGTGACTGTGTAATAGTCCTATCACTCTGAGTCTGGCCCTCTCCAACTGCAGCCAGTCTTGCTGAGGGTTGTTTTAGCGTAAGTTTACTGTGTCTAGCACGGCTGACCTGAAGCATAGTTTTGTTTGATTCATTACCTACAAAGATAATGGATTCAATTTTAAACTAAATAAAATGAGTGGTGCATTAAATTTGTCCATCAGTGTAGTCGAGTTCACCTCGTAACTTATAAAGAACTAACTCAAATAGCTTTGTCCTCTTCAGTCATCTTTCAATGTAGTTTTTTTTTCCAGATGCAGTAAACCGTGCCCCTGGGGAGTTTATTTCCACCTGCTCCCATAACTGATTACAGGTGTAATAAGTATACAATTGTTTACTTTACAATAGTAATATGTTTTATAATTGATGTTTTATAAGTGATCGAGATGAATATTAAAATATGCTATTGGTAATTTACATAATTAATTTTATCCATTTAATAAGGTAAAGTCCATGCTATCAATAAATTTTTCAAAATGTTTGCAGAATCTTGATATCATCAATAGGTGTATCGGCACCGGCCATGCAGTGTTTTCTTGTAGAACGCTGTCTCTTTCCATTATCATGCATGCATATGCTAACTTCGAGCAATCATAAATTAGATGCTTCCAATCTTGCGAAGTTGCACCACATGTGCATGATGGTTCGTTTATGATGTTAAAGCGGTGTAAGTAGGCTTTATTCTTCCTATGTCTGCTTAATACCTGTGTGAGTATAGCGGTTATCTTGAAATTTGATCGCAATCGTGAGGTTATGGTAGGGAAAAATGATTTCACATGGTAACCCTTAGTTGCAGTTTCCCATTTGTCCTCCCACAGTTTCACAGTATTTTCTTCTCATTTTTTGTTAATATAAGATTTAGGTACCAACTCAAAACTTATTTCTATTCTTTCGATGTAGTAGATGGCTGACTGGAGTGTTCGACTGGCTTTGAAAATTTAGGTAGTACTGTTCTATGTTGATGTGCAAGTTGTTCAGATTGCGAACATACCAAAGAGCATCTACCATATTCAATAGAACTTTATTTCAGAACTGTTGTATTTTGATTGCATTGCTTCTTTTGGCACAGCCCCAAAGTTGTAACCGTACCTGGCATTCTTTGTATACAAAATGTACTAATTCTTGTCTCAATTTTTGCATACATTTTTTAAGACCTGAGTGCAGTTAATTTTGTTTTCTTTTTTAATATTTTAAACGTCCTATTCTTGCAATTATAGTAAATAGTCGAGCATATGTAGACTAATGGACAGATAACCTCCGACTGTTGATCTTTATCATTTGTTGTCTTAATCAAGTTAAAAAATCTTTATTTAAATATTATTTATGAGATGTTCCCTGTTTGGAAGTGTTTTTTTTTGTAACTGGGAGAGAAAGAGTTGACGGATTGTGATGTCATCGGCGGGGCCACAGGTCATGTTTCCGGGATCCGATTCAGGACAGGCCAATCGTCTTGGTCTAGGCTGCAGACCTGAGGCAACCAGTCTTTCTCCTTCCGTCTAACCTCGGCAGTGCCAAACTGTTTATTGTTTGACGTTCTACAAAATTCTGAAGCAGCTCCAAAGGGAAAATGGCTGGGCCTCAACAGAGCTCGTACACCACGCCGAAGAAGTGCAGCCTCAGCGACCGGTTGAAGGCCCTCTACCCGATGGTCAACGAGTCCGAGACCCCTCTACCCAGATCTTGGAGTCCAAAGGATAAATTCAATTATATCGGACTTTCCAACGGAAATTTGCGCGTTCATTACAAAGGTGACGTATTTTTTCATCATGTCGTTATACTTGGTTGGTATTTGAACGCCAAAGTCGACCCTATTCACGGATTAAATTTGTAAATATTATTTCAAATTTTGACTCAATCCAGTATGATGTCGTAGGATTAAAATGAAATATCGGAACAAGTCTAGTCGTTGTCAATCGACCTTTTTCCCTGATCGCTGCAACTTCTGCAATAATTTCTGTTAATACTGTCCAATGTCATTTTTTTTCTCGAGAAAAAAATACATATCCTATGGATTTATATGTGTCATCTCTAGTCTACAGATTTTCTTCTTACAAAAACCACTTAAAAACTAATTGGAATATCAATTTTAGATAATGTGGCGTTAAGGAAATCTTCAATAAAAGGAATAATTAATAAACAGCACAAAAATAAAGCACCAAAAGTAAATATGTTCTGTTTTAACCTGTTGACATATTCCGACTGGTGATATGTCAAATCGCAGCCCCTGGAACTTAAGTAATAATGAATAAATCACATTATTAGAATTTTTGTGTTTAAAAGTATTTTTTTCTGTTTAATTTCGTATTACCCATGCCTCAGTGATACACGTATGTTCGCCACGCGTTGCAGGAGGACTGAGGCTCGACGGCAGGAAACCAACTCTGACAGCCCCAGCTTGAAGAGAAGGAAACTCCTTTTCTTTCTAGTCCATTTTTTCCAACAGTCTCGGATGTGGATTAAAAACTATTTAGGCTGTGAAGGTTGCTTAACAAACTGAAGCTGGCCAGCAAAAAATAGAGCACAGTAGATCCACGGAGGTTGAGGTGTAGATGGCCTTGTGGCCAACTCTTTTAAACCTGTCCCTATTCCTACATTTAGCTATTCATGAAATAAATGTTAACTTTAGCTGTACATTCTCTTCGAAACATTAACATTCTTTCAACTGCTGTTTTGCTGCTGTTATAAAGCTTTTTTGGATGTTCATACATGACCTGTTGAAGTTTTAACAATAGTCAGAGTCAACAATCCAGTTGCTCTAGAGTAAAATCTTCCTTTCTTTTGATCCAGCTACTTCGTATCCTACCTTGTCCAATGTGGAGTTAAGAACTATTCGATAAAATGAATATTTAATAACAAATAAGAATAAAGCACCATATGTAAATATGTTCTGTTTTAACCTGTTGACATATTCCAACAGGTGATATGTCAAATCACATCCCCTGGAACTTAAGTAATAATGAACAAAATCACGTTGTTAGAATTTTTGTGTTTAAAAGTATTTTTATTTTATTATTTTTTTTTTTTTTGTGGGGGTTATGATTTTATATTATCCTTGTCTGATATGAGTATGCCTGCCAAGCGTGGCAGGAGGACTGAGGCCAGATGGCTGGAAACCAACTCCGACAGCCCCAACTGACGGTAATTGAAGGGAGGGAAACCCCTTTTCTTTGTAATTTGTTTTTTTTCCAACAGTCTCAGATGTGGGTAAAAACCTAACATCTAGATATCAAGGAAAAGTCCATATCATCGAGGTAACTGGGACTAATACGCCTGCTCCTCTCCTGTCCACTCTACTGGCCAAGCCCCATCACCGTAATCCCTGCCCTCTGCTTAGCCTGATAAACTAACTAAACTTTACGAATTGAGTTCACACGCCAGAAATCTTTTATAAAGCGATAGGGCAGATCGCAGTTGTCACCACTACCTGTCGAAACAAGGGATTACAGACTAAAAGGACTTTCTACACCCTCCAAAGACTGAATCCCATCAAAAAGCATTTATCTTTTTCCTTCATATTCCGTACACTCCGTTATAATGTGATTCAAATCCTCCGGGCAATCACAGGTCGTGCAATTCGGAGTTTCTGACACATTGGCAGAATTATTGATTGCCTTCTGTAAAATTCCACTTGTGGCACAGATCACTCTTCTCTTGTGTCCTGGGATCTCACAAAGTAGTTGATTGGTCTTATACGGGAAAAATGGTTTAACTGACTATTGCTGGGTTCAGATCTTCAAGGCAGTGGATTGTTGGAGGCTCTCTTCTTGACGAACTCCTTGGGAAGACTCAACCTTTGAATTGAGACACTGATCTGAACTTGAATGAGGATTTGGATGCAAACTCTGGCTCAATTTATCTGCCAATCAATATGACAATATAATCAGTTTTTTCTTGATCAATAAATTATTAAACATATTTATTGGTAAAAACTAAGAGTACAAACTATTATTTTTTTTTTTTACCCACTGAACATCTTCAGTCTGCAGACCCAAAATGAAGTCAAGATCATGACTATTTTTTTTTTAATATTCGATGAGAGGTATTATAGTTTATTTATTTATTTTTTTTTGGTGGGGGTGTCTGTTGGTAACATTCGTTGGCAGATGCACTCCAATCATACCACCCCACATACTGGCTTTATTTACAGTCAGATTTGAACATTTCATCAGTTCTTCTTTGGAATAAAACATTAAAGATAAACAGTTGAATAAATGGGACGATTATTCAAACACTGTACCTTACATTTTAATTTTTTTATGTTTACAGGAAATCAGTTTTGAGATTACATTGTTCTCGTCTTTATAAATGAGATGTCAACATAAAATATAGTTAGAGCAGTTGTTTTTAATCCAATGTTATTTTTTCCGTACAAAATATAATATATCAAAGTTACGTAAAACAAAGCAAACTTGTATCAACTTTCAAATTATTTTTACATTTTAATTTCAAGAAATATGCAAAAAATGCATGGTAGAATATTCGAATAATACGAAAAACTAATATCTAAACTAAACTAGATCTAAACAATAAGTTGCCACATTTGCGTTTTTTTTAGAAACCTTATTTAGTTTTGTAGATAGAGTAATCAAATGGGAAATGATTCACTCGTCCCTTTGTTGTCTGCAGAAACTGTAACTTAAAGTCAGCATGAATGATTTATCTATGCATGGCTCGTGCCAAGTGTGAGTCGAAACTGAAATAAAAACCTGTCTATGTTACCCTGAGTCAGCTTTCGTCTGAACTTGATAAAAAAGTTAACAATAAAATAAATTAAGTTATTTAATAAATATGTATTTTTAAATTTTTTTATTTCTTTCGGGGGAAATTCGCAAGTTGTGACATGGTTTTCTCAAATTGAGTTGTGTAATAATTATATAATAATTTATGATGATTTTTATTTAAAAAGCATCGTTGGATGATTAAAGTTTAGATATTAGTTTTTAAAATTCTTTCTATTTTGTTAAATATCATCCAATCCTCTCCAATCAAAATACATTTAAAAAAGAAAAATCGTTTGACTTTATTAACTCTGCTGATAAGACTGTTTTAGAGTCAAGCATTGAGATTTAATTAATTTCATTGACCTTTTATCTTTTATTGAACTAAACTATTAGATTGTAATAATTAACTTGGACTAAGATAATAACTTTTACACCGTTTTTATTATGCATTGATTAAATTTGCTTTAGAATAACCTTGGAGAAGTAATTCAATATTAATTAAAAAAAAAAAAAATTGCCTTGCGTTATATTTTTGCTATTATCTGATGTTTGAACTATAAATAATAATAAAAAATAAAAAAATAGATTGTGGGCGGAATTGAAAATATTATTTTCACTTTTGATTAATCGCATTTTTTGTTTTCCCTATATAATACAGTAACTTAGAAAAAGAACTAATCCAACCACTACCTCTTTCCTTTCCATTGAACGGTTTTCATTTTTCTTAGGTGTGTTTAATATTCTTTAATATCCGCAATAATCCTCCAGGAGGTTAAAACAACATTGGCCAAGTGAAGACAGTGAGACATAGTCACTACTATAAGAGTCTCCACTGGGTTCTTCACTCTAGTGCCAGATTAATTTTTTTAAATTTCCAAATTTTTGTTTTATTTTAAATTTTTACATACTGTATTTTACTTGTGGTGTATAAAAATAAATACTGCCATTAAAAAAACATTGATAACTAACCTCTAATGCATTATTAACCCTAACCATACTTAACCTAACCTAACTTGGACTTGGACTTTTACCGTGAAGGGTTGTCACTTTCCGATGTGCTGACCCTAGGGTGAGCCTCAGGGGAGTACACCTACCCTGTTACGTGGCCAGGTGGCTAGTATCTTCTTAAATCCAGATGCCCAGTAGATAGTTCCGTACCAGTGGGGTTAGGCTCTAACAGGGGCTTTCAACAGCTAAGCCTATCCTAACTGTTTGTCATGAAAGGTAAAAGAAGTGTGCCAAAATGCATCTCACTGCCAAAACAGCAGAATCTATTAATTACAAACAAACCACAAGAATAAATCTTGTTCTTCTCCCCTGGGGGCTCGCATTTTGACTTGATAACCTGAATCCAATTCTAAATTTTCATATTATTCAATCAGACTTGCTTTTCTAAGACAGTGATGATACAGAAATAATTGAACACTCGAAAAAAGTTGAGTTGCACCATCAGACACTGAAGCCCATTTAACTCGATCCTTTCTCAAGCGATTATTTTTAAGTCAAGTCTGAACGTAAAGTCTAGGTGGACTTGGGTGCAACCTACAAACAGGCCAATTACAATGAATCTTTTTAAAATTACATAATCTGTAACAGAAAATTGTACTTATGAGGCTCAGAATTGGGCATGATTGGATTTAATGACCAGTCTGCATATAGAAAGTGAGTTGGCTGTGCGCTATGACAAAGCGTCTTGATTTATTTTAGTAAGTGTCTTACATTCTAGTTTTGTTAATGTTTTGAAGTCTGCAGATGTATTTTTAACGGCATGAATGTTGATAGAATGTTTATTAGAAGTTAAACAAAAGCATTGTAGATAGTGAGAGATTAACCAGTATCAAAATAAGGTGAAAGTAAATAAACCATAAACCTTGAGCTTTCATCTGGTATTCTGAAAATATATTACCTGAACGGAGGGATATAATTTCTTATTTTCATTCCTCTCCCAGAGTGCACATATTATAAATACAATTAAACTTTGTTTAATCATAAGTATGTGGAATAAAACACAGTGTGATGTATTGGCTCATCCTATTTTTTAATCTTATCCTGATTATAGGTTCTAGGCCTATAACTAATCTGCTAGTTTTTTCTTTTTTTTATGAGGGTTCTCAACAGCAGAGGTTATATCAACCCTCGGGGGGCCAGTGTTTTTGAAAAAAAGCCCATTGGTAAGTATGTCGGGTTCAAATGCAGGGCCACTGCATTCGAACCGGGACCTTTACGTTACAGTGATGAGCGCCGTGTCAACGCCTAAACCGTTGCGGCCACCGACGCCCCTTGATCTGCCAGTTATTAGCCAGATTTTTTGGTAGTTCATTACAAAAAATTCCCTTGTGCCCTCGTTTCCGTTTTCTCAAGTTTTGAAATTCATGTACTACTTGGGAATTTATTCTGGGTTGTTGTGGGGGAGGAGGTCCAGTCTTGGATTTGGATGGAACATAACAAAGGTTAAAATAAGTACTATTGTTTTAGCTACGTTAACATTGTGCCTTTGCAATAATCACAAAATTAAGTATTTATATATATATTTATAAGTAATATATATATATTTATATATAAAAAAATCATGTATTAAAAATCTATAATAATTATAATCTATATTAAACCCGATATAGCGGTGGAATGTTGTGGGCCTCAGCTTTACTTTGTTTAGGAGGTTGATGATACCATCAACTTCCTAAACAGAGTGTCTATATTAAAAATCTGTGATCAAAGGTTCAAAAAATTTCGTAGCCACCTTGAATAGAGCAGTAATAAAGAAAAAGTAAATTCTTTGTTAATGAAAGTCTTAATTTGTCAGTTCAGTTCATTTTTTCAGGATTTGGAATAAGGCTAATTTTTGGTATTTTAAATTATTGATAGGTCATGGCAAAACTCACAAAGATGCAGCAAGTGTTCGAGCAACACATCCAATTCCAGCTTCATGTGGATTGTACTATTTTGAAGTGAAAATAGTGAGTAAAGGACGTGACGGCTATATGGGCATTGGTCTCTCGGCCCAAGGAGTTAATATGAATCGTCTCCCTGGTTCGTACTATTTAATGTATGCATAGTAACTATTGTTTACAAATTTTTTAAATTAGGCTGGGACAAACATTCATACGGCTATCATGGCGACGACGGTCATTCATTTTGTTCTTCTGGCACGGGTATACCTTACGGCCCTACATTTACAACAGGTGATATCATAGGATGTGGCGTAAATCTTATAGATAATACATGCTTTTATACAAAAAATGGCCACAATCTTGGCATCGCATTCACAGACCTTCCTGTTAGTATTTTTTTTAAAAATTCTTATGTAATAATTTTTTGATTTAATTATGTCAAATTTTGCGTTCTAGAATAATCTGTATCCTACAGTCGGGCTTCAAACACCAGGAGAAGTTGTAGACGCTAACTTTGGACAAATCCCATTTGTATTTGACATAGAAGACATGATGAAAGAACTCAAAGCTCGAACCAAAGCAACAATTGAAAAATTTCCTTTCCCAGAAACTTTCAGTGAACATCAGAGTATTTTACATAGGTAAATCAGGTTGAATTAATATTTTTACTGTATTACGTCATATTACAGTGTCAATTGGATGAAAGTACTACTCTTACTAATGTTGTAATTTCCTTTATTAAATGTAAAATTTCTATTTAAATCAATTTACACCATTTTTTAACATTAGAGAAAAAACTCACACTCTGCTTCCAGGCTTGTTTCCTCATACCTTGTTCATCATGGTTATTGTGCGACAGCTGAAGCTTTTGCCAGTGCTACAGGACAAGAGTTTAAAGAAGAAATCGCCTCAATAAAAAATCGTCAGCGTAAGTAATTGCATAAAGTAATATACAAGTTATATATTTTAATAATGGAAACTAAAATATGTCAATCAGTTCCTAACAATTACATTGCATTCATTATAATTTAAAATATAAAAAAAATATTATTATATTTGTTTGTTTTTGTTTGCAGGTATTTTAAAGTTAGTTTTGGCTGGTCGAATGGGTGAAGCAATAGATATGACAAAACATTTATATCCAGGACTGTTGGAAGAAAGGCCGAATTTACATTTCATGTTGAAATGCAGACAATTCATAGAAATGGTGAACGGTAGTGATACGGAATACCAACCAAGACATGTGATAACCCATACATCAGTTATTCAATCTACAAAACCATTTAGGTAGTTACAACATTACGAGATTAATAAAAATAAAAAAAATAAAAAAATGACATTGATATAGTGAAATGAATGGAGTGGCTAAACCAAGGGAGGAGACAATGGACGTGGAGGATAAAAATGGACATCAAAATGGAATCCAAAATGGGTTTATTCAAGATGACCATGGAGAAAATTCCAGTGGAAATGTTCAATATGCAGGTTCAAAAAAGCTTTGTGGTGGCAGTAGACCAGCAGTCGAAAGAATGTTAGAATTTGGAAGAGAATTATATAGCTACAGCCAACATCTATTTCATGAATTTGGAGCTAACGAATCAAACAAAACTATGCTACAGGTGATTACAAGTTCAGGATTTATTGTTTCTGAGCAGATCAAAGCAAGAATACATTTTATATTGGCTATTAACAGATCATATTACAAAATAAAATATATGTTCAGCAAACAATTTTTTCATGTGTTTATTCTTCGTAGGATGCATTTAGTTTATTAGCATACTCTAACCCTTGGAGTAGTCCTGTAGGCTGGCAATTACATCCCAGAGAAAGAGAAACTGTATGCGCACAACTTAATTCTGCAATACTCGGTGAGAAATGAAGAATTAGAAATTTAAAAAATTAAATATAGTTAAACTAACTTGCTTGTGATGGTTCAGCAGTTCGGCAAGTGCATATATCAAAATAATTGTTTTATTATCAAACACTTCATTAACTGCATTAATTTTTGTAACCTACATTTTCAACATTTTTTTAAATTAAAGGCGATCTCAAATTTTCTTGAAAACTGACTCAGTCCTAACATTGGCAATGTGACAGTCCTTGGCAGGATCCTTGATGAGTGAATAAGTGGTTGACACTTCTAGTATTGTAAAATATAGCTTACAAAGTAATGGAACAACAATACAATGCATGTATCGAAATAAGTGTTGTATTATCAAATACTTTATTCCCAACTGCATTAGTTTTTTGTAACTGCCATATTCAACATTATTTTTTTAAACTATAGTTAAACTAACTTGCTTGTGATGGTTCGCTGTTTGGCAAGTGTATATATCAAAATAATTGTTTTATTATCAAACACTTCATTAACTGCATTAATTTTTGTAACCTACATTTTCAACATTTTCTATGTTTTTAACAGCAGTAACAAAAACTGGAGCTTTACACTTGCATATTTTCTCTACTTTGCAGAAAAACATTGAATTATTGATATATATAACCTCACCTGTCCCTAACCTTCACCTACCTAAACCATCTCTAACCCTATAACCCTACCTAGCTTAACCTAACTAAGCCCTAACCCTCATTCTAAACCAACCTAATCCTTACAGTTGAAGGTAATAATTTAATAATCATATATTTTTATAACAAAATTTGTTGTTCTTCTATTCTTCCACAATGATTTTACTGTTTACTTGTTATCAGAATTTTTGCCAAAAAGAAGTGATTTGTGTCCAATTACATTGCTGACAAGTGGAAATTTTGCAATATAATTTTCCAAAGAAAATACCAAGAGTGCAACAAAGTGTAAATTTTCCCAAATTCATGGAAAAATATTGAATCATTGATATTTACTCTAACCCAGCACTATAGCCATACTTAACCCAGCCCTTACCCTAACTCCATATAACTCTACATCTTATACCTTTGATCCTATATTTGGAGTAAACCTGTACACTAGCAGTTACATCCCAGACAAAGAGAAACTGTATGGGCTCAACTTAATTCTGCGATACTTGGTGAGAAATAAGTAAATATAGTAAAAGTAACTTGCAAAGTAATTGTTCAGCAGTAGAACAAGTGCATGCATCAAAATGAGATATTGTTTTGTTATCAATCACTTTATTCCCCATTGCATAATTTTTTTGTAACCACCATATTCAATATTTTCTATGTTTTTAGCAAATAACCAAACTGGGGCTTTGCACTTGCATTTTTTCTCTGATTCATAGAAAAATATTGAATCATTGATATATAACCTTACCTGTCCCTAAACTTCACCTATCTAACCCATTCCTAACACAATAACCCTTTAAATGTTGTAGATTTAACCTGCAAAGTAATGGTACAATAGTACAACAAATGCATATATCAAAACATGTTTTATTATCAGACACTTATATTCCCATCTGCATTAATTTTTTATAACCACCATATTAAATATTTTCTATATTTTTAACAAATAGTAATAAAAACTGGGGCTTCACACTTGCATATTTTCTCCACTTTGTGGAAAAACATTGAATTAATGTATAACCTCACTTGTCCCAAACTTTTACCTACCTAACCTACCTTGTCCTTAACCTTATAATCCTACCTTAATTAACCTAACAGCCCTAACCCTAACCTTGTCCGACGTAAACTAACCTACTTCTTATACTTCTCCTATACTTGTAGTAGTCTGATGGCTGGCAATTACATGCCAGAGAAATAGAAACTACTAATAATTATGGTGGGGTTAGCATTCAGCAGGTTTAAAATGTGTTTTCTGGGAAACTATGTATATAACAATCTGCAATGCTTGGTGAGAAATAAGTAATTAAACATAGGAAAAGTCACTTGCAAAGTAATGGTGCAGCAGTGCTACAAGACATGTATCAATATAAATGTTTTTGATCAAACCTAATCTGTTCCTAACTTTCTCCTTCCTAACCTAACATAACCTGTCGTTCACTTTATAACCCTATGTAACCTAACCTCACTCAGCCCCTTACTCTAAACTAACCTAATTCTTTAACTTGAAAGTAATGATTCAATTATCATATATTTTTATAAAGAAATGTGATCTTCCATTGTTACACAATAATTTTATTGTTAACTTGTTATCAGAATCAAGTAATATGGCTAGAAATCCACCATTGGAGATAGCAGTTTCACATGCCAAAGAATTGGTTCATATAATGTCTAAGGCAGGTTTGGGATCTTCAGCATTTGCAAACGTGGAAGATATTATCTTGAATTGAAGGTAATTAAGCTTTTAAGTACATTATATAATTGTAAGTTTTCATTGAAATAAATAAAAATACAAATGTTATTGAGATTAAATTTTTTTCTGTAGTAAAATAATATAATTATTGTCAAAAAGAAGTGGTTTATGTCCAACTACTGTGAACTGCCTAATAGTATTGTTATAAAAAATATACATATTATGTCAGTTTCAGATTTCAAGCTTTCATTTTGGCACACATAATTGTCTTATTTATGCTTGAATCTTTTTTGTTGTTGTTAATGTTGCTTTTGTTTTACAGAACAAAAGTATAACCATGAAGCATCAATATCAGAGACTATTGTTGCGCCGAGTAGTCAACGGTTTAGTTGATGAACCGAAGCGGAACAAGAAAATTCCTAGTCCTAGGAAAATGGATGTATTTTCAATTATATTTATATTTTATAACAGATTAAAAGAATTAATTGAAGAAGTTATGTTTGGATGCTGAACACTTTCCTAGTCTGTATTGGGTTTAAAATATTAAAAGTGGTTTGAAATGTAATAAAATTGGTGTGTATAATTGAAAAATAGAACTAGGGCATTTGTATTTTAAACTCTAATGCTAGAAAATTGTTGAAGAATTGTATCATAGGCCTTGTCGTCACATCTGAAATATTTATTTGGCGATCTACGATTGTTGTCACATCTCAATGTGGTAAACTACCTCATCTTTTAAGGACTGTGTTTACAAAAGGTGTAAATATTTAAAGCAGCTGAAATATTTGGAAAATAGGAGGTTTCTTCTTGACATTGTCTACAGTACAATGTGTGATATTTTAAAGTTATATTTATTTATTTTAATGTAACACATTTTTTATGTTATTAAGAATATGTGCACTACATGCAGAGCAAAAGGTTTTGGCTTTTTAAGTACTATTGTTTTTATTTGAGTCTGAAAGGAAAATAGTCCAAAATTATGTAAAGGTTTATAATTTTTGTTTACCAAAAAATAAGTTAAAAAGCTATATCTGTTTCATATAGTTTATTGGGGACCAGGTTAAATTTTATAACTGCGTTCAAATATTATGCCTGAAAGAATTTGTTAAAAGCATTACAACACAAAAATATTTAATCAAATAAAAATCATCTTGTAAAGTCAAATTTGTATTCTTGGATAGAAATTATAAACCTAATATTTTTTTTGTGATATTGGCGTAAGATTGTTAAGTTTGTTTTGCAAATGTATCCCTAAAAAAATTTATATAACATTTAAATATATTGAAACAATATATGATTTACTTTTTAAATTTGTTTACTCTGTTTTATTTACCCACACATTTTGTTTTCATGTTTACTCAGCCCTCATCTGATTTTCCTGTTAATTTTTTTAAAAAGCTTTACAAGTTTTGCTTTCTACCAAATATTTATTCTTACAAACATCCAACCTACTTTGGGAATCAGTACAAACAACTTACAGCCATTTCATTCTTAATTGTTCAACTTTTGTTCTGATATTTTCTTATTTTATTTCCTATTGTATTTTTACCTGAATAATGTGAAAAATAAGTTACTGAAACATGCATTACAATAACCAAATTTTAGAGAGAAATGATAGAGCATTTTTAGTTTGGAAAGTCTTAATTTTTAAATGAACGTTTTATCGGTCATTGATTTTTAACTGTGAAATATCTGTACATTTAATCAAAAGTAAAACAATATAAACTCAATCTAGCTAAATTATCAATCCAGTTGATTTTTATAACAGTAAATACTTTTTAAAAGGATCATTTATATTATATAATCAATTTACGGTCTTGTAAAATAAAAAGTGACTAATAACCATATACTGACAATACTATAGAGGCCATTGTTTGTCAATGTATAAAAAGAGCTATACATTGATTTTTTTTGCAAGAGTACATGTAGTAGAAAATTTAACAAAACGTGATGAAAGTTAGTGTGCATGCAAGAGGAAAAAATAGAGAAATTGTGTTAAGTATACAATTAAAACATATTTCTGAAACAGAGTTTTGAGGAGTGTAAAAGTAATCTTGTGTTAATTATTAAATTTTTATTAACTGGGCTTTATAAAATAGTTGATTAGAAATTTTTATACAAGTTGTCAATTTTTTATCTGAACATTGGTTTTAATTAGATGGTAAACTTTGCTGAAGTTGTACTTAAATAATGACAAAGTTGGCAAGATTGCAATTTTTTCGTATAACCAAACGATGCTGAAAAAATATGCTTGTATTACAGACAAAACGAATTACATTGTTACAAATAAATAATAGTAATGAATTAATTACAATATGTTTAAAACTTAACGATGCATATATAAAAATTGGTTTAAATATAAACAGTCAAATTTATACTTAAATTTTTTTGAAACAATTTAATAAAACCATTGTGCCATAAGTATACTACCATTTAATGCAATCTATTTATTAAAAATGCCTGTATATTGTATTCTGTGGAATTTCTCTAGTATGCTGAATAAAATCCATCAAGTTGCCTATAAGGTTTTTCTTCTATATCGCTAAGTTTTAATATGTTTATTAAAACAATTAAATTCAAATTTAACCGGTACATCCAAAATTTTACATGCAAGAGTTGTGACCTTATTGAATTTCAGCTCTTTTGGAGAAATTCCATACCAACCCAATATTTCAATTCAATGTTTAAAAAAATCTACTGAACTTCAAAAATTTAAATGGCTGTTGAAACTAATTTCCCTGTTAAATAGTAAAAGAAATATTTTTATAATTCCAAAAGTAAGTTCATGAACTAACAATTATTCTAAGGAAGGTGGCGATTGTTTCGAGCACATACAAGTAATGATCATAAATTTTATGGATTTTTTCTTGTTGTCTTTACTTGTAAGAAAGTATATACTTTTTAAGGAGAGAAATGTGTGTAATTTGTAAAAATTTCACATAAACATTGATTGAAAAAAAGAAAAAGAATGAGAAATGTTAAATCATACAGCACATTAAAGTACATTATTATTGTTATATATTCAATTTATGTTCATGGAATCAGTGAAATTGCAACCTACTATCACAAAACCACAGATTGTAACTTATGAGCAAACATACAAATTTTTTTCTTTGACGATTGTTGACATTCCTAAAAAATCTGGAGGTTCACTGTTTAAACTAATTAGTAAAATTGTATTGTTAAGATTTTATTGTGATCACAAATACTTAACTAATATTTAAATATTATTGTATAAAGTTTATATTTTTTTGTTATATTTGTTGCTTCTTCTTAAAAAAACTTTCTATTCATCATTTCATGATTTAATTTAATATTACTGTTTTGTTGTTTTTTAATTACATTTATGACAATCACACATGAAGATAGCAAGGTTGGTTCCCATTTGAAATGATTGTAAGCATATTGGTAATTTTATACAATGCAATAATAATTAAAAAGAAATCTCAATTTCAATATAATTTTTAAATTTTATGTATTCTATTTTTTGGTTATACCCCTTGAATTTAAATGTTCAAAGGAATTCGCAAATGCTGTACAGTAAAGTTGAAATTTGTTTGTTTTGTAATAATAAAACACCCAAATAATTTGCACTTTATTTAATTAATCCATATTTGCTTAGTGGCCATAACTGACCATATTCCAATATTCCAATTAATTATTCTTTTTGTCTAAGGTTTTTGGTTGAGATGAAAAATTAGTGCCACGAGCGGGAATCGAACCAACAACCTTCGGTTCAATGCACTGCTGCTCTAACCACTTTAGCTATCGTGACTTCAGTGGCAAGTTGTGAGCGAGCATTTGATACATCGAATATATTAAATCAGGCTTCTAATCCTCAGTGAATTCCCAAGCAAAGCCATAGTCCTACTCACGTATATCTACACTAGCATAATGTGCTTCTCAATTTCCTTTGCTATGGAAATATAATATTAAAAAAAAAAAAAAAAAACCAACCAGATCACTGGTCCAGCTTTTGTCCGCAACATTTGCTAACCTTTTAAAAGGTAAAGTAAGGCCTTTACCTAACCTAACCCTAACTTTATCTAACCTAAATTAACCTACTTCTTATACCTGTTCTCTTGTAGTCCTTTACACTATGGCTATCGTACACCAGGGAAAGAGAAATTGTGCATAACTTTCTACAATACTTGAGATAAATAAATAAATATAGAAAAGTATCTTTCAAAGTAATGGCTTGGCACTAGGGCAAGTGCACTAGTGTGCTACCTAATAATGATTAAAATAAATGTTTAATTATCAAACACTTTATTCCCAATCCTTTTTAAAAAGTAAGCCTGTGAGTAGGAACTATCTTTTTAAAAAGGATTGAACACCACACTCACTCCATCATTTATCATTTCTATTAATTTGCTAGTCAAAGCAGTAATGGATTGTAACACAATCAATAACATCACCTCCACTTACTTAAAATCTGTTAGTAAAGCTTACTGTGAGTAGGAACTATCTTTTTAAAAACGATTGAACACCACACTCACTCTATCATTTATCATTTCTACTTTATTCCCAATTACTAATTTTTTTGTAACTGATATAATCAACATGCCCTATACTTTTAATAAATAGTAACAAATATTGGGACTTTGCACTTGCATATTTTCTACATTTAACGGAAAAACATCAAATCATTGATAATAAAACCTTACTGTACCTAACTCTTACCTACCTAACTTAACCCATCCCTCACCCTACCTTAATTAATCTAACCCAGCCACAACCGTAACACTGTCTTAAACTAACCTACTTCTTATACTTCTTCTCTTATAGTTGGAGTAATCTGTATGCCGTCAATTACATCTAAAAGAAAGAGAAACTGAAGTTATTAGTAGTACTAATCTGTACTAGACTGTAGTTACTATTAACTTAGTTAAGGTGAAGAGAGTACATCATTCACTGGTTGAAAATGTGTTTTTTGAGAAACTGTATGTGCTCAACTTAATTCTGCAATACTTGATGAGAAATAAATAATTAAACATAGTAAAAGTAACTTGCAAAGTAATGGTACAACAATAAAAGTT